AGGGTTTAGGGTTTAAGGCTTTGGGTTTAGGGTTTAGGGCTTAGGGTTTAGGGTTTAAGGCTTTGGCTTAAGGGTTTAGGGTTTAGGGCTTAGGGTTTAGGGTTAAGGGTTCAGGGCTTTGGGTTTAGGGTTTAAGGCTTTGGGTTTAGGGTTTAGGGCTTAGGGTTTAGGGTTTAAGGCTTTGGCTTAAGGGTTTAGGGTTTAGGGCTTAGGGTTTAGGGTTTAGGGTTAAGGGTTTAGGGTTTGGGGTTTAGGGTCTTAGGGTTTAGGGTTTCGTTTTTGTTGGAAGGGGGGGTGGGGGGGTTGGGGAGGGGTTAAGGGTTTAATATTTCGTTGAAGGGGTCTATAAGGGCTTTAGGGTTTAGGGTTTAGAGGCAGGGTTTCAGAGAAAAGGGGCACTGAAACGGTATCCTTTTGTTTATGGCTCCTTTTGGGGTTTTCGTTCAGAGATGCGAGAAGGTAAACGAGGACCAAGGCACTGGAGGCTTAGCGTCCGTCTTTTGCCGCTTCGCGTCGGGCTCCTCCTTGTCCTTTTCTGCTTCGTCACCCCTAAACCCAAGATTTAGGCTTTAGGGGTTTAAGGGTTTATAAGGGTTCAGGGGTTTAGGGTTTAACTAGGGTTTAGGTTTTAGGAACCCTTTTCGCGATAAACCCCTACATAAGCCCTGAACCCTAAACAGTGTGGTCCTCTTCGGCTTTTCCACCGGCCGGGTCCTCCTTAGCCTGGTCTCCGGACTTCATGAGCCACTGGCAAAACCTGGGTCGAGGGTTTGAGGGTTTAGGGTTTAGGCTTTAGGGGTTTAGGGTTTAGGGTTTGAGGGTTGAGCAACGGATGATGAATCGGGTGAATAGGGTTCCTCGGAAGGGAAGCTTTCAAGGCATCCCCGGGCCCTAGAAGCTAGACCCTAAGCCCTAAACCCTGCCGCTTAGACGCTCCAAGACTTTCTCTGCATTCGCGTCCTTGAGCCTCACGAGATTGATCATGCGACCGAACCTGAGCTCTTGTCTTAAAGGATTTAATTTATATAAGTTACCATAATAAGGAAATCATTTTATTTACTGAAAATGTACTGTATTTGACTTAAGTTACCATCATAGGAACCTACAGTAAATAGTAAGGAAACCTCCTTATATTATGGTAACTATAACTTATACATCCCTTATAACAACCCAAAGGGTCGTAGGTACTGTTATGGGGGATACTTTCCCAAATCATAATAGTAATTCCAAATATAGAAACCCTACATTCTACTATATAGGTACTTTGGACCCTTTGGGCAAGAACCAAGGGACTGAGGCTTTGAGACCAGGGGGAGTCCTGTGGCTGGCTTGGGCTCGGCCGGCGCTAGGGAGCGCAGCGCCTCGGGCAGCTTTGACATCATGTTCCTGGGTAGTCGGCCCGTTTAGAGCCTCTGAAACATAGGGGTTTAAGGTTTTTATGGGCTTTGGGCTTAAGGTGAAAAATCTCGTTAATAAGATCCCCTTAAGCCCAATAAGGGAACATATCAAACATCCCAAGCGCGTTACCTAGGTTCTGATGCTCCAACAAGCGCTGCAGCTTTTGCAAAGTCCACTGGGCAAAGCGCTTCGCCTGGTCCGTTGTCTTGGGCCCAACCAAAAGGCTGAAATCGGCTTGGAAAGCATTGTTGGACAGCCGACATGCAAAGGCATCGGCAAGTACATCCAGGCAATCCTCATCCAGATCTGCCAAATTCCGAAACAGAGCTTGAAAAGCCGCATCAATCAGCTTCTTCATGGAGGTCTGCTTTTCAGCACAAACCTCCATCAGACGGGAATAGAATAGAGGCGCCAGCCTTGGCGCAGGCAGCTGCAGCATTTGGCAGAAAAGGATTTCCACAACTATAGCCTCAAAGTGTGGATGTAGAACCGGTATCCTCAAAAGCTGCTTGCTGCACTCTTCCACATCGCTAGAGAACATCTCGACGGTGAGCAGCACGTAGTCTTCCAAGACCCATCTATCTGCGATGGACAGTGACTCACCGGCATCCAATTGCGAGGTGAGAAGCTTCGCAGCAACTATTGGAACCGGCTGCCGCGGCCGAGTCTTGCTGAAGTCCTCTGCCGTCATGTCCAATTTCACGTCCGGCATCCCGGCCACGTCGGCTGCAGCTGCTTGGGTGCCAGGCACATGGAGAACAACCTGTGAAGACCAGCCGTTGGAGGACAGCCCTTGCAAGCCTGTGTGGATCTCCTCCAACCTATCTGAGAGGCCAGCCCCTTCCGTGGTTTGAAGCAACGATTTCCATTTGGGATCTCGAGATTGCAGGTGCTTCGCCGCGTCTGCTAGGAGCCCATCGACTTTTTCCTTGCCCTGCTGGTAGGCTGCGGCGCTGAGAAAAGGAAGCTGTGCAAGTACCATAAAACAACCGAAATCGCCTCCTTTGTTTGGTGGCAGGCTCTGGCCTATACCCATCACCTCCTTCAAGAACTCCAAAGCAGCAGTGACGCCGACCACACCGGTGTTGGCCAAAGACACGAGGAATCGCAGGAGCAACTGGGTGTTAGCAGTCCGTCCGCCCTGGATGGCTGCCCGGAGCTCTTCCAGCGAGTTAGAGACGACACTCGCAGACCACTCGGGGTGCTTCTCGGCCATCTTCGATAGCCAGGCCGCATAAATACCAGACTTCACAGGCAAAGACTTTGCACACTCGACCAAAGTTCGTCGTATGAGATCGCCATGCAATGGAATGTCGTCCTCCAAGGCTGCAGCCAGGCCCCGGATTTGAGAGACGACTTTCTTGTTCTCATCACCTAGACTGGCCCTTTAAAGCCTTTACAAGATCCTCTTAGGCCCAATAAGGGGAAATAACAAAGCATAAAAAATGTCCCAAAGGCCTAGCCAGAAAACATATAAAATGTCCCAAAGGCCTACCTAGTCACCTAGAGTGATGATCAGCTTGCGGATCCTCTCTTTCTCGGCCTTTTGCTTCTTTGCCGCAGCATCGACCTCCAACTCTTGCTGCGTCTTCCTGGGTTTATTCGGATTCGCGGCACAGCTCATGGCGATGCGTCTAAGCACCGTAGCTGCCCAAATGCTAGCTAAGCATAGACAAGAGGAGTGGCCAAGGCAATGCTGTCATGCATAAGTTACATAAGGGATCCTACGGTTATAGCTGGTATTGTCATGGGTGGGAAACTGTAGACTTGAGCATTCTCAGACCGAAGCGCTCATTCCACGCATTCCTTGTTCTGATGGAGCCAGACAACACGCATATGTTTTGACTGCTCGCATTCGGATCTTGAACACGCTGCGTGAAGGGCCAGCGCTGCAAGATACCACAACTACTGCTCAGTGCTGCGTCCTTCACGACGGAGTTGTAGGCTGCCTCCTCCATGAAGCCTCCGACAGGATGCAACGGATTGTGTCATGGCCAACAGGGATTCGGGCTAGTTGCGGGAAAAAGGGTTCGGTTCAGAAAAATCAGCTGAAGACGACGACCTGTACACTTTTTAAAATCACAACGAGCCACACTCAGCCTTCTGTCCGCTGAAGTTTGTCAAGAGAAAAAGCCGCTTGGTACTAGAAACGGAAGCTTAGCCATGTGCCACCTATGTTGTCCAACTGTCTTAAGGCTTTAAGTCTAGGTCGAACAGTGCAGATGTGCAGGCCCGATTATGGCCTCTCCTGGAAATCCTACCCCAACACCGCAGACAACGTAACGTACTGGGACAGGGACATACCGGACCTAACAGCCCCACAAAGGCCATGTGTTCTTGATTTTTGGGGGGTTAGCTGGATGGGTGGGTGGGCGGTGTTGACAACTAGTTCTTGACAGGGCTTCTCATGCAGTTACCGTAGTTTAAGCCCCAGAGAGCTCAACATTGAATGCCTCTAAACTCGAAAGTTACAGGCTTTCTCATTCCGATATAAGACAGTTCCTTCATGAGCCTGGGGTTTTGGGGTTCTTGATACTATACACATATGGCTATACCTATAAGGGCGTACTATGACAAATCATTGAAGATTGCCCCGGAACTCCTAAACCCGTGAAACCCTAAACCCTAAACCTTCAGCCCTAAACCCTATAGAACCTAATGAAAGGATACTGGGCTCTCGAAGCCGGATATGGAGATGAGCTCCAAACGCCTGTGAGGGGACTGAAGGCGCCACTGAGCAGGCAGAAGACGTCGCACGCCTGGACGCTTACTTGGGGGTTTAGGGGTTCAGAGCGTAGGGTTTATCGGTTTGGGGGTTTAGAGCTTTGGGTCTAGGGGATTGGGGGTTTAGGGGTTTAGGCATGTTGAGAAGTTCTGTGACTTCCAAAGCTTCTCGCGTGGCTGAAATCTTCGAAGCCGCTGCTGGGGCTCGGTCTGAGAGGAGCGGTCTATGTCGAATCCCCACAAGCCTGTGTATGTATGCGTGTATATATGTATAGTTGCATACAGGCAGTCTATACGACCCTATACACTCTATACATGCATATGTATGTATGCAACAAGTATATATATATATATGTGTGTGTGTGTGCGCAAACGAACACAAAACCTAAACTCAAATAAAACCTAAACTCAAATCCCTAACCCCCAAGGCAGCAGTCGCCTGGCGCTCATTCAGCTCAATCGACTTCACTGTGCTGGCAGTGAGGCTCTTGATGGTAGCCGCGTCCTGAAAAGGTTGCAGGGCTTAGGGTTGTAAAGGCCGAAAAGCTTGCAGCTTTAGGTTTTAGGCCGCCCATACGAAAATCCAGATTCAGCTAGATCCAGAGATAATTTCTTTGAAGTTGTAGTCGTGTGGGCAAAAAGTGTGGAGAGGAAGAAGGAATGCTAGCAAGGTCTGTTCAGTGTTCAGAGTTTATAAAGGCTTTACAATATTAGAGGGAGGGATATAGAAGTATTCGAGGTTCCATGTTCAACACGTCAGAGATTCCGACCAGTTTTGGCAAGCATCCGAGCATCCGAAGCAAGCAGCAGCAGACAGTAGAACTTGGCCGAAGTGCTTCCTAACTCAGGTGAACTGCCACTCCCTCAGGGCTTGTGTTGTGCATTTTTAAAATTTTAGCCCTGGTGGGACTCTTGCGCAAAGCCCTTCGGCAACTCGACTGCCACACAAAAAAAGACACAAGAACATACCCAAACCATATCTAAATCCCTAAACCCTAAACCCCTAAACCCCTAAACCCCTACACCCTTAACTCCTAAACCTCTAAACCCTAAAACCACAATGCACTCCTTGACCATCAAGTCGACGAGGGATCCACCGTGAGGAGCGCCAGCGAAGGTGGTACGCGTGTGGATACCGCACTCCGTTTTCGCCTCAGGCAGGGCTTTTGGGTTTAGGGTTTAGGGTTTACGGTTTCATGGCAGGGCTTATTAGAATGGGGTTAATGTGGGGTTTAGGGTTTATAACAGGGCTTTTCGGGTTTTGATAGGGTTTAGGGTTTACGTTGTGGGATTGTTTTCGCTGGGCACAAACACAAAGGAAGTCAAAGCAGGGAGATGCATTCTGAATGACTCCGAATGCTGCGAAGACAGTAACTCGAGATGACATTTCCACCGTCAAACACATGAACAATCAACTCCGGAACGGGCAAGCAGTAATTTGTCTCTCATGTGCCTTTAGGCATCTCTTCAAAACGACATGCCAAGTTGAGCTCCTCGAGCTTGGCAGCCCATAGCATCTATTGACGGCTCAGGATTTCGGGTATAGAGTTTTTTTGCCACCCCCCCTCCCCCCCCCAGCTGACAAAGGTGTAGGGTTTTGGGACTGTTTTGGGAATACAGTGTTTATAGGGATTAACAAATTCGCCCGAACCTCAAAAACCCTGCTGTCGCCTGGCGTACGAAACGGCCGGCGCGCTCGGACTCGTGGGGCTCAACGGGCACGGTCGTGTGCCTTGCAAGGGTGCTAGGGCCCCTACTTGGTTCCTGAGTAGCCCCTTTATAATAAGGGTACCCTTTTTCCTAGTATTCGGTTTTAGTACGGGGGCCCTACAAAAAAAAGGGCAAAAGGGTACCACTCAGGGACCTAGCCTAAACTCCTATAAGCCCTAAACCTCTACGGCCCTGTTCGAACTCCTAAACCCTAAAACCGCCCTAGACGCCCTAAAGCATGGCCAAGCGGCATATCGCCGAAAGACTTGAACACATACGTGACCGCGGCGGGTGGGCTTCCCTTGATCTCAGCCTCCGTGCATCGCCAGAAAGGCTTCCCCAAGTCCACCTGTCATGGACCCTTCTTTGGGGTGTAGGGTCTATAATGGGGTTTTAACTTATAGCTTCTAGGGTGTTAACAGGGTTTAAGTGTAAGGTTTATAAGGTTTTAGTTCATCTCGTTTACGGTTTATGGGGTGTAAGTTTAGAGTTGGGTGTGTAAGTTCAGGACCCCTATTTTTGGGTAGGGTTTATGCTCCCACAGCTTGGAGAAGCCACATGAGTCTCGGCGACTAAGGATTAGGACTCTGACTCTCGCAGCTGCTAGGGAGTGACAGTTCTTCCTGAGAATCTTTTGGGCACTACTTCGTAGCAGGCTCCGTGCTTGATTGAGGCTTCAGCGGCTTGAGAATCAGAATATTTGGGTGGTGTAGGCTCTCATGGATACAAGGAGTGTAACATGACCCATCCCAGCTCCCGGAATTTCAACAGCCCACGATGGACAAACCACTGAATCGGAAAAACTGTAATTTTCGCAAGCTTCCATCAGGGAATCATTGCAAAGCCTGGGCCTAAAGCATGTTTTCTTGAGAAAACTCCCACCTTGGTCCACGGAAGGTCCGGGAGATGGCGGCTGGTGGCCTCGATCGGCGCGTCGCAGCGGAAGGCCCAGTTGTGGCCAGCGTTCACTGGCACTCCCTCCTTTTGAAGGCTTCGGGTTTGCTCTTCGAGGGTTTAGGGCTAGGATTGGGGTTGACGGCTCGTTTCGGGGTTGATGTCTTTGGCAGCTTTTCGTATGTAGCTTGGGGCTCATGGGCACGGCCCTGCAAGAAAAGGCTTCAACTCACATCATCCTGGCACTTCAAGGGAATGGTGTTGTAGTAGGGTTTAGGGTTTAGAGTTTAGGGTTTAGGAACAGTACTGTGTTGTAGTACAAATCGGGTTCTAAATTCGGATTCGGAACCTTCACGTTCTGAGGCTTTCGGACGGCGCAGGGTCAGATGCTAATGGCTTGGGTTATAGCGGTTAGGGTCTATGGCGTTAAAGGTTTGTGTAATGTAAGGATGTAAGGTATTCAGGAGGCCGAGACCAAGCGAGTTTATGGTGGTAGTGGGTTGCGGGTAGCCTACGGATCGTTCAATTGGGCACAGTCCTTGTCCACGTAGTCTGTAATGTCTTGCCAGCTGAAGTTCGCCATCGGGTTCAACGTGCCTCGGGGAGGATCGAGCAAGTTGCCAGAAATAAGTTGGTTTCAAACTTGCTTTCCCCAATTGCTTAGAACCCTAAACCCTAAACCCTAAAACTTAGAACCGAATGTGCCGGATGGTCTCGATGCATCTGAACACTCCCGCTTAATTCACCACGAAGTTCAGTGGGGCCCCAAGCATGGAAACAGAGCCCTGACCTTCTGCACTTGGACGAAGGAACCCCAAAGGAATAAATAGTACTGGCGACTGCTTAGGCCTCTATATTTATGCCAAGGTGCGCTTCTGATCCTCCCAGACATCCAGCTTGATGCGCTGTGCCGCCTGATCCATGCGGCGGCCGGTAATCAAGATGTCCTTCTCGCACTCCTCACCAGGCAGCTCAGCATCGTTTCCAGACCCAGGGTGCAATAATTATAATACCAATAGTAATAATAGTAACAATAAGACAGTGCGCTCACCTTTGCAATATGCGGAGATTCGCAACTCGTAACCTTACATCTTCAACCTGACCCAAAACCATGAACCCTCTCAGGCCCGAAATGGAACCAAGAACCTGGAACCAGCGCGAAACCCACCCTAGACCCTAAACCCCTGACCCCGAAACGTCCATAGACCCTCAGCGATTCCGATTGTAGAAAGTCTCAGAGCACAAGAACACACTCCTCCAAAGCGCGCTGGAACGGCTCCACCTGGCAGACTTGCCGGGTGTGCGGGGCCCCAAAATTCAAACCCTTGCGGGCCCCCTTAAGACTACCACGGGGGTCGTTCTCAAAGGTTAGGGGTCTCGTTTTAAGGTCCTCCAAGTTTAGGGGTCTGTTTTTTGGGGTCCGCCCAAGAAGGGATCCGAATTCAGAGAACTCTCCACCGCTACAAACCCTGAAGCTCGAGGCTATGGTTGACCTGCACTATCTTCTCCCGACATTCCTGTGCAGCCGTGTTTGTCTCCTGAAGCCCGAGACACCATGTGCAGGCTGCAAACCCAAAGACTCGGATCTACCAGGAGCCTGAACAAATCGAAACCAATGTTAGAATAGTACAAAATCCCTTCAGACGAGAGCCGACACCAGATTCTTAAGTCCTTAAAGCCGGTGTCTTTTGGTCGCTAGAAATTTCCCTTGAGAAAGAGATCGGACAGAAGACTCTGCAGGCTTCATCCAGACCTTGCTCACAAAGTCGAAGTCGGCGGAGTCCAACTCTTCGCAGTCGCCGTACTTGGCAAAGTAATCGTCCTCCAAGGAGTACAGAGGGGTGCTTGAATATAAGACTCAAGCTTTCGAGTTCAGGCTAGAGTATTCAGGAGGCTACTTGTTACTTGTAGCTTGGAGTTTGGAGCTTAAGGCCCGGGATGTGGGATTGAAGGGCCCGGCACGAGACAATGCAAGGACCCCAGACTTAGCACCTGACGTTGCAGCTTCAGTAGTGCGAATTATATCATCAACAGAAGGATTCGCGGCTTAACAACCCTGAGTCCTTTTCGACTCACACACTCGCACAAGGCTGGCATGGCTGAGCCCTGTTAGGGTTTAGGGTTTAGGGCTTAGGGCCTGCATTACCCTGAGGACCCTAAGCTATGGGAATTACATGGTCTATTCCTTATTATGGGTAATGCAGGAGATATAGTAGTTTTCACCAACCGTAGTTCGGATGCGGATACTTACACTCTAACCCAATACAAATAGATCGCCATGTTTCTTTCGGGTCGCTAATTGCTTTTGTAACTTGGGAACACCGAATTCCAGAAAGACCTAGCCCAGGAGTCATTAAAGGATCAGGGGGACTTGGTGAGAAGGGCTACTCAAGAACCTGTGTGGAAACAACCTTCAGACGCCTGTGCTGTTTTCAGTGTCGCTTATGCGATCAGGTGCTGGGCGTGGTCTGAAGACCGAGTCTTCTGAGCGGGGTTGAAAATTCTTCGGTTGGAGAGTACAAAAATTTCCGAAGGGTTTTGAAGTCTGTCAAACGCCTGCTGAGAAAGTGTGCGGAGTTGCCTATATCTGCTTATTTATATTTATCATATATCTATTGAGATTTCATTCTGGAAATTATTATTTGCTTTCACCTTATCTCGTTATCAGTACTTAATAAGTCCCCTTATCCTCTCTACGAAGGCGGAGCAGGCCGGACGATTCAGTCCACAAATCTTCTTGCTTGGGTCCTTCGTCGTGATTCCGTTCGGCATCTTCCACATGGCCTTCGATGGCAGAGCCGGGTTTCATGTAGCAGCTTAGAGTTCGGCGACATATTCTACTCAGCGACACAAAACAGATTTTTTTCGGAAGGTACAGCTACAAATTGTCGAGGCCTAGACAACTCTCATCAAGTCCTTGGCCATCAAGACACAAACCTTGAGGACGTTCTGGCATGAATTCGAATTGCAAACTACGGCCGTTCATCGATGAAGTGCCACAACCCTAAAGCCTAAGAGTCTTCATCGCCTTCGGCAGCCAACCGCCAGCCGCCCAAACCCTTAACCACAATCCATGAACCTGACGCGGCCCTGCCTTCTTGCCGTACTTCTCCTCCACCAGCTTGGCACATTCGAGAGCCGTCGGGAAGAGGTGCAGCGTGTCAATGGCAACGAGGTTCATCCCGGTCAAAACCTCCTTGGTACCATCAGGGCTTGAGGTTTTGGGTTTATAGGGTTTATAGGCCTTTAGGTTTAGAGTTTAAGCTCCTTTAAAGGGTTCTGCAAGGGTACTGTAAGGTTCTGAACGGGCTACGAACGATTGCAGTCAGCGTCGTATAGTACCGAGAGCCCTCTTAGATCCATACAACCCAAAGCTCGTCTTGGAGGGGGGGTCCAGGTGGAATGCGTATATATTATTTGTATATACAAGTATAATTATATAGAAAAAAAAATATATATATATATATACACACACACACCTTAAACATCATACGTATATAGGACTTTCAACAGAATTCCGAGGGAATGGATTCCCCGCTGGCCCCATCATGTTGTGGTCCCTTAGCCTTTGCTTCCCACAAGGCCCAAAGCCGGGATCTAACAACTGTGCTCCACCCCAATCTCAAGGCCCAGTCAGCCCAAGATGCAGGGAAGTGCTTCCGCATGAGGGCGACGAACACGTTGTCAGTGGCAAGCCAAGCCGTGGCGAAGACCACCTTCTTTCCTGAGTCAGTTCACGGTGATGTGTCTTAGGTGGTGCTCTTACGAGGGCTTCTCAAGGTTTGCGAAGGAGCTTCTGCAGTTTTGCAACTACCAAAAAAATACCAGCTTTCTTGGGCCTCTTCTCTTGCATATGCTGCTGATGTAAGCAAGCTCTCTGGGCTCACGACTGCTCAGTGTCTAGATCCTTGTTTTAATATATGTTCAAGGCTACTATTACAGAGCTTGATGGAGTGTTATTCAACTGATCTTCCTATCGGTACAAAGCACAAAACATCTTAAAACCACGAGATGAAGAAAGCTTGCTGATAAGCATTCCTGGAATCCGTCCTTTGGAAGGTGCGCGTCCACGTGCTTGCAGAAGTCATCCACTTTGCTCTGCCTCCGGTCGGCACTCGGGTCCCCGAACCTTCGCCCTGAACTGAACCCTCAAACCAGACATAAAAGCGTAAAAAACCCTCAGCTTGTGAGGCCCAGTTGCACAAATTCCGAACCTTCATTCCTCACTGCAAGACCGTAGCCTCGAAACAGAAACTCCTTCACCCTATAAGCTTAAACCCTCAACCCTAAGTTAGAGACTAAACTTAAACCCTCAAAGGCCAGAACACCGAGACCTTCGCCACCCCCCAAAACAGAAACAGTACAAACCCCTCAGCCCTAAGCTTTAAATACTCAACAACCTGGCCTTAAACCCCAAGCTCCTCCACGGTTACCCCTCCAGTATCCTTTTGTGTAAAACCCTTATTTGAAGAACATGTATAGAAGCCTCACAGAACCCTGATATATACATCTGCATATATATATATACACACATATATGTATATATAATACAACACAATAAATATGTGTTGAGATATAGGTGTGTATATATATATACATTATGTGTGTATGTGTATGTGTATATATATATATATGTATGTATAATAGCAAGAATATGAAAGCAGTAACAAACACAATAATAACACTAACAATAATCACGAAAGAAAAACTAATATCTAACATAAGGTATATATAATATTAATATGAAACAGATATACTTATACATATACAGGTACGTACATGCACCCACACACAGATATATATATATAGAGAGAGAGAGAGAAATATATATATATACATACATACATACATACATACATACATATATATATATATACAACCCCTCAAGAGCCCATATAGATCGCCCTTGAGAGCCAAGTCGCAGGGAGGAGAACTGCCTCGGCAAGCTGCTGGCACGGAGAGTCAGGCTCAGCTTCCTCGGCGGAGTTGCTGAAATCCCCTAAACCCTAAACCCCAAGAAAGGATCAAGGGTCTTTCTGGAAGGCTTCCTTTAAGGTTTTTTTGTTTAATGGGTTCATGGGTTTTGGGGTTCAGGATAGTTTAGGTGTTCGGGCTGGCTTAGGAATCAGCTATTTATTAGAAAGGGTCAAGGCCTTAGTAATGGTTCCTTCAAGCGTTATAAGGGTTTAGGGTCCTAGGGTCATCTTTCGAGCTGAAGATCGGGAAGTAACTGTGCTCTGCCTGGGCTTTGGTGGGCTTGTAGGGAGGGTTCCACTAGCTCGACAAGGGATTCAAGCATGATGTGCTATCGGATAACTGAGGTCAGGATTCTAAACCCAAGCTCCGGTCGACACAAGACCAACATCCGAGTTCAGAAGCAGGAGACTTGAAACACCAGTATCTACCAACACAAGAATCCAGAAACAAGGTCAACCCACAAAAACAAATATTAGTCTCATGTTCCAACTTGACAGCTTCTGCATGCTTCTATGCACCCTAAACCCTAAACCCTAAACCCACACCCAAGTTACACGAATTTATAAGACCTGGCTCTTGCCTGAACCCAGAGAGTACCGTGCAAGTCTAAGCATCTGCAAACCCCTGCCTTCTGAAGAGCCCTAAACACTCAGGCTTAGGGCTTAGGGTTTAGGGTTTTAGATTTAGGGTGTAGGGTTTAGGGCTTTAGATATTTTTTTAGGGTTTAGGGTTAGAATTCTCAAAAGCTCTTTTGAAGCTTTTGAACCCGAAGCCACCACTTTGGAACGCAGGCCGAGGGACGGGGTCACGGCAGAGGCACTAAGGCGGCGTACGACGGCGGCCATGGCAAGGGGAGTTGTTGGAGCGAGTCTGAGATCTTTGGGATCGCGCTTTGAGCCTCCTTGCTACAATGCTTCGGCAGCGGCCCAGCGCGTAGGACTTCAGGGAATCGCGTGGTGAGCCTGGAAATCTTGGGGAATGCTGCTTGCTCGACACTTTTTGAAGCTTCTGCAAACTGTAACTGTAACCATGATTCCCAACCCTCAACCTCCGGCAGCTCCCCCGTGTTCGCACCTTCACAATGAAACGCGGTCCCTAAATGCGGGGCCATCAGCGTCCCTATACGGTGTGACTCTGCAGCCACGCTCTCAGATCCCAGGCTCCAAAAGTACATTCAGCACATGCGGTTTCAATCCCGCAAATTGCCTGCTGGGTCGGGCTGACAAATTAGCTCGGGTCGCAGTCACAATGGATGCCATGTTGGCAGTGCTTCCACAGATTGGGCATGTCATTCGCCACTCCTCTGGAACCAGCTTCAGACAAGACAACATGCTGAAGCTGCAACCTGCATCATCCCACCACCCTAAATCCTAAACCCTAAATCCTAAACCCTAAACCCTAAATCCTAAACCCTACATCCTAAACCCTAAATCCTAAACCCTTTTTACTAAACCCTAAATCCTAAACCCTAAATCCCAAACCATAAATCCTAAACCCTAAACCCCTAAACAGCCCTAAAACCCCACACCCCTAAAGCTTCGGCAGACCAGTCTCCATGACTTCGCCAACACTGCAGGCATTTCCGTACCTCAGGCCCGACGGTGTGGGGTTTTCGACTCACACATTTTGGGGTTATGGGGTTATAGGGTTTCGGGTTTTTTAGGGTTTCGGGCTTGGGGTTATAGGGTTTCGGGTATGGGGTTTCGGGCTTGGAACTGGTTGAAGTGCTTTAGAGCCGTGGTGTCCGAAAGAGTTTGCCAGCGTCGGGTCTGAGAATGCCAATCATGGTTTGGATACTTTCATGTGCGCCATGTCACGGCTTGGGTCCGCCTCACCGTCTCCACAGCTTTGCTTACCTTCCGACTCGAGCTCCGCAGGAGCTGCTTTGAATACCTCGATTTGCCTCATAGCTTGATTGTTCTTCGTGACCTGGGAGCTTTGATCACACCGTGCTGTCCCTGAGCCCTAAACCCTAAACTCTACAGTTCTCCGCGGCAGAGAAAATGTGTGCACGATTTGCTTTGCGTCAGTTGCCAGTTGCTTTAGGGTTTAGGGTTAACTTGGCCTGAGACTTTCGAAGAGACCAGCGTGCACTCCCAGGATATAACCCAGAGACCTGCCGGCGAAACGGCGGGAGAGCTGGAGGCCACTTACCCTAAGGGTTCATGTACCCAAATAATATATACATTGGCCCCAAAGTACTTATATGGGGACTACTTTCAGGCCAAAGTTTGTCTATTTGGCTACATGGACCCTCAGGGTTAGTGAACGCCTGCATCTTCACATGGAAACTTGGAACCCGAAGCTCTCTCTGTTGCCGCCCAGTGTGCGGGTAGCCAAGCAGAGCATTGCTGCGACGGATGATCCGGCAGTTGACCTGAATTATCACGAAAGCTCTTGGCGTCAAAGCTGCTACTGGTAGTCTGCTTCGTTTTTGCCGGCTGGCACACCACGTACTTGCCCAGCCGGATGCACTTCAGTTCCAGACTTCAGGCGTAGTGCTGTCAAGTGAAAACCGAATTTCTCTTGAGAGCGCCCTTCTAAGTGCTTGGTTTGTGAAAGTCTTGAGGTAATGCAGAGGACGACCATGTTCTTGTATCGGCCCCACTGTCCGAATGCGGTGCACAACGGTACATGGTAAACTTCATGACGAAACACACTCTACAGCCTATATCTGTACCGTGAAACTACATAAGGCTTGCGAAGGGTGGCACGGTTTGGGTTAGGGACTGGCAAGAATAGCGAAGCAGCAGCAAGAGGGGGTATCGACACGATGTAGCAGAAAGTAGGGCTAAATGACTGCCATGAAGGTAACTCTATGCGAAATGTCCACCTCGGGCCCTCCTACGTCCACCTCTTCAAGCAGCAGAGCCAAGGACACGACAAGGCTCTGACTTCCCAACTTAACGGAAAGACAAATTTGAACCCTCGCAAGACTTCAAATGCAAGGTGGGCAGCCGGTGCCATCACAAACGGCATGGCCCAACTCTCAGCGTCCTTGTCGTAGCCCAATGCCCTGATGTCGCCGAAGTCCTTGGAAACGCAGGGTTGGCGGCTTCCAGGCTTACGGGCGCAATGAAACCGTAAAACCCAACCCTGCGCTTCGCTCAGCCCGCTCTTGACGTCTTAGACTCTGCCTTCGTCATGCGTCATGTCCAAGGCACACCTTCTGAAACGGAAGCCCGTCGAATCCCATAGGTTTGCGAGCAGCCTCCTTCTACACTCTCTTGAACCCATAAGCCCGAGAGGTACCCGCGATTCTCGAGCGACCACAAACAGTTTGGGACAAGGTGCTCCGCCATATCGTTATCGTGGAAGTGCATTCTATGCACAACTCAATCGGCACTAATTAAAGGACCTTTACATAAATATGCATAAATGAAGCTTTGCAAGACTCATCTAAATCCCTGATGCCACTACTTTGCTTCCCCCCCCCATCATCCGAGAGGCGGCGGTGTCAGGACCAGCCTGGCCTCCTGGTGGGTCCAGGCCATAAGGCTTCTTCATGGCCTCAGCTGCTTAAGGCATCTTCAGATTTGGGGTTTAAACAACTAAAACTCAAGAAGCGAAGGAAGTGAGGCTCTGGGGACTCTTGAGGCTTCCTGGCCTGGCGGCGCTCGGCTGAAGCTTTCCGTGCTCATGCTTGGAAGTTCATGGGTAGTTGCAAGTAGAGTTACATAACTCATTAAGTAGGAGAACCGTAGCTATTAAAGGATACTTAGGGGACTCATAGCCGAGCTTACAACTACCCACAAACCTCCAAGTAGGTCAAAAATGCTTGTGGCGTAGACGGGCTTGCAAACCCTGGTCTTCAGGCTTCGCACAGTGGTGCTTTCTCGGGTCTAGGGTTTACGCTCTCACAACTCGGACAAGCCAGGCGGTCGAAGGATTAGGACTTTGGGTTTCAGGTTTCCGCTCATGATTCCATCCGGACAACCTGGGGTGAGGCTTCACCCCTAAACCCTAAACCCTAAACCCTAACCCCTAAACCCTAAACCCTAACCCCTTTTACCTAAACCCTAAATTAAACCCTAAACCCTAACCCCTAACCCCTAAACCCTAAACCCTAAACCCTAACCCCTAAACCCTAAACCGGTGAGGCTTCACTAGTCGTGCGGTGTTCCTTTTCCGGGGAGGCTCTAGGCTCC